GGATGGCCGAGGTGGGCCTCAGGGTGTCCGTGCCGTTCGATATCGCCGAGGGTCCGGAGTTCAATCTCGAGAAGCGGGGGGTCCAGGACGTCGTGATCAGGTGGCTCAACGAGGGCCGCATCTGGTACTTGCATCTTGGGACGCCGTGTACCCCGTGGAGTATTGCGAGGAAGTCTCGACCTGCAAAATCGTCGGTGCGGGTGTCTCGGGAGCACGTTCGGTTCACTGCAAGGTTGATCAAGCTCTGCACGGATCTGAAGGTATACTTCTCCCTCGAGAACCCCAAGACCTCATCCCTGTTTAGGCAACCCGAGATCCTGAAGGCCTTGGAATATTCGGACGCGTTCTTTGTCGAGTATGACTGTTGTCGATACGGTTGTTCATATAAGAAGCCGACCCTACTAGCGACTAATTGTGATTCCTTGAATAGCCTGAGTCCGAGGTGTGAATGTCGGGGGCCTCACGAGATCCTTCCGGGGAATGTACGACTATCGGCTCAAGACGGACATCATCGTTGGAAGTGGAAGACCAGTCTTGCAGCCTCGTATTCTCCCCAGTTGTGCCGATCGTGGGCGTGGGCCGCTCGCTGCGCCGCTCCGAGGGGGGCAGGGCGCGCTCCTGGCGAGGCCCGGCTGTCGGATGCCTGGCAAGAGGAGCTGCGTCAAGACGCTGGGGCCGGTCCCCAACGGCCGCGGCTCGAGCTCAGCCACCTCCCGCGTCGCTGGATCTCGCCCTGGGCCGGGGCGACAGGCGCCTGGGGCACGGGTCCAACTTGCCGCTGCGCGTGCTCAACGTCTCGGAGCGGAAGGAGGACCAGGGTTCCTGAGGGCGCGCGCGATCCGGTCGGCAGGGGCCCGCCAGGCCTACACGGACGCTAACAACAAGTTCGTCGCCTTCGCCCGCCGCAGCGGTCTGCTGTCGGACACTGCTGATCACGTCGACGAGGCGCTGGAGAGGTTCATGGAGCTTCTGTTCCTGAGCGGGGAGCCGCAGTCAGTAGCCCGCTCCGCCCTGTATGGCTTTGCGTGGTGCCATCCTGAGATGCCTCACAAAGATCGGAGGCTCTACATCAGGAGCCGTGCTGCGCTCGCTGGATGGCGGAACCTTGAGCTGGGCGGGACGCGCGATCCAGCTCCTCTCGAGATCGCGTGGTGGATCGCTGACGACATGCTCCAGCATGGTCTGGCGCTTGCCGCCTTTTTAGTCGTCCTGTGCTTTGACTGTTATCTGCGGCCTGGCGTGGGATGCACCCTGTGCCGTTCTAACGTCATGCCACTGGCTGCTGCAGTTCACGAGGTTTATGATCGCTGGTGCCTCCGACTGTCCCCAGCCGAATCAGGCCAACCCTCGAAGACCGGCGCCTGCGATGACAGCATCGTGGTCGGCGAGGTCGCTGGACGGGAATGGATCGCTCGAGCTTTGGTGATCATCTTCCCTCACGTCCAGTGTGATCATTTCATCTTCCCTTTCGGGCTTCGAGAGTTCGAGAAATGTTTCAAGGATTCGGTTGTGCGGCTCGGCATCTCGCATCTCCGTCTGTCACCCCACTGCCTGCGCCACGGTGGTCCTTCGACGGATGCATACACCAAGGCTTACACCCTTGAGGAAGTGCGTCGCCGAGGAAAATGGGCCGACCATCGCAGTGTGTCTAGATACGAGAAACACGCCCGTCTGCACGCCGTGTTTCAGAAGTTGCAGCCAGGCGATCAGCGCCTTGCCTCGACCGCCGCTGCCACTCTGTCCAGTCGCCTGCTCGCGGCCCTCCGTCAACCGGCCCTTTGGTCGAATGCAAGGTATATTGCAACTGTTACGTGAAGTGACTGTTTCGGTCGCGCCTGCAGCGATCGTGGCTCTGGCAAGCGCGCTCCGAGCTTGTGTATTTCAGATCTAAGCGTGTGCTGGCCGCGCACGGTCCCGAGAAAAAAGAGAGGCTCTGGAGGTCCTTCAGGCTCTCGGGTAGTCTCAGACTGTGGGTCAGTATGTAGCCTCCTTGGCCACGCAGTTTAGTGAATGTAAAGATTGCAGCAATCACTGATGTTTCTTTGCGGCATGAGTCGTGGCCAGGTCCCTCCGATCCATCGCCCAATGTGCTCAAGTTTTTTCTGCTCCTCCTGCGTCCCCTCCACCTCCCGCCTGCTGTGTTCCACTGAGCCCAGCTTACCTTCACTTACTTGGCAGCTGTTACGTGATATGACTGTTTCGGTCGCGCCTGCAGCGATCGTGGCTCTGGCAAGCGCGCTCCGAGCTTGTGTATTTCAGATCTAAGCGTGTGTTGGCCGCGCACGGTCCCGAGAAAAAAGAGAGGCTCTGGAGGTCCTTCAGGCTCTCGGGTAGTCTCAGACTGGGTCAGTATGTCGCCTCCTTGGCCACGCAGTTTAGTGAATGTAGAGATGTATATATATTATTATATATGTATATGCGCAGCCCCCCCCAGCACCCACTGATTTCCCATCGGTCGTTGACCTCCACTCCTTGTGATCCTTCATGCTTCTTACTCCCATCGCCCTTCCTGCCTTGATCCCTCCGTCTTCCTTGTTATGCTTCCCTCTCCCACGCACTTCTTCTTTACCTTCATGCCTCTTCCCCCAATCGTTCTCCCTGCCTGGACCCATCCCTCTTCCTCTTCCTCTTCCTGCCTCCCCCGTCCACGTATTCTTATCATTCATGCTTCTTCCCTCCATCGTCTCCCCTGTCTGCATCCCTCCCTCTTCCTCGCCTTCTTCCTGCTTCCCTCGCTCTCCTTCCCAGTACCCCTCATCGCACTCCTTGCTATCCTCCACATTCCTTTTGCTATCGTAGCGAGGAACGCCAGCCAGCTTCAGGAAGGCCTCGTAAACCGACCTGCGATAGGGAAACTAATGCAGCAAACCGTGCAGGCAACCGATGTGAGATAGGCAACCTTTCGATTCGCCTTGCAGCTGCCGCATCGTTGACTCGAGCAGGTGTGGTCGCCCTCTTCCCCCAAAAATAGCCCAAGTAGCCCCTTGAGTCCCATGAGGGAGGATGTTCTTTAGGCTCCTCCAGCGCCCGCCATGTGATCGAGCATTATTTTGGGGATGCCAATCGGAGATTTTCGAGCGACCGACAGATCTTTGGGCACGTGCTGGGGGATCCTGGTTTGAGGCTGCTGGAGCGCCCGCCAGATCTTAGAGCTTCATACGAGGGCGTACCGCTTGGGGTTCATGGAGCGCCCGTCAGATGATCGAACTTTATGCACGAGACTACCACCGAGGGCTCTCTGAGTGTCCGTGGGATGCTCGAGGACTGTGCTGTGGGATGACTGCCGCTTTGGGTTCAGGGGGCGCCTGCGGGATTCTGGGGCTTCGTGCAGGGGGTCTTGGCGTGGGGACCCCTTGAGCGTGCCGCACCCTCGAGCTCTCATGCCAGGGCGCGTCCCCCGGGGGTCCCGGAGCGCCTGCCAGCTGCTCGAGCCGGTCGTGGGAGGATCTCGCCCAGGCCTCTTCGAGCGCCCGCCAGATCCTCGATCGTGTCGCAGGGGAACGCGCATCGCTTGGGGCGCTCCGCCCGCCCGCCCGCCAGGTCCTCGAGCGCCCGTCGTCGAGAGCCATGCCAGGGGGGTAACGCCCAAGGTGCTTCGAGCGCGCACTGCGGTCTCGAGCATTCTGCTGGAGCATCTTGCTGGGACACCTCTGTGCGCCTGCGCCCACGGCGGACGTAGTCTTCAGGGGCCCACTGGTGAGTCCTGGGCCCTGCCGAAGCCTCCCGGTTCCCTCTGGGCTCTGCTCCGGCACCTTCCTGCTCCGGCCTCCTGGCCTAGGTTCTGAAGGCCTCGTGCCTCGTGGGGCCTCAGGTCTATTTTTTGAGGGGTACTGTGGCTTCGCGTTGTTTCGACCAGCCGCGACCACGCCGCCGACGTTCAACGCTGAGCGCCGCCAGCGACCCAGAATTGGTCGATGTTGAGCGATCCTACGTTTTGGAAGCGGCCGATCGTTCAAGGTTGGATGATCCCCGCGGTGTCAGGAACCAACGCTGGGGCCAGCACGACACGAACCTGCCGTACCGCCAGGGCACGCGGGGGCGCCGCGAGCTGAGGAGCGCCGAGCGCGGCGAGGAGGCGGGCTGGCGCTCCGAGAGCTCACGCGCGCGTGCGCGGGTTCAGGTACGGCGCGGGCGCGGGCGCATCTCCCGTGCGCGAGCTCACAGGGTATCACTGGGCAGACACCACGCGACACCGCGCTGCACGACGGGACACCGCACGGCACTGTCACGACACCACCTGGGACCCCGCGACACCTCCTGGCACCGCGCGACACTGCACGACACCACGCGACACCACGCGACACCACATCACACCACGCCACACCGCACCACACCAGACGGCACCTCACGATATCACGAGGTAGCATACGGGAACGTGATGATCACACAACAGCACACACCTCGCCATCATTACTTGGCGGCTCTGGTGCGACACCGCACGGCACCGCGCGACACGAGACATTTACCACACTCGGCACGGCGCGACGCCGCACGGTGCAGCATGACACCGCAAGACATCCGCACGACACCGCGCGAGGCCGTACGACACCCCACTATGCCACTCGGCATCGTCCACGTGTCACATCGGCAGCACATGACACCACCGCGTCACCGCCGCGAAATCTTAGCGACACCGCTCCCTGCCGCTGGCCTCGAGGAATAGAGACAGAACGTGCGGAGGACTTCGATGAGCGTCTTGTAGCAGGCGTCGGTGCTCCGCACGCACGACGCGTCGAACGCAACACGAGCACGTAACTCGGAGCTCGATTTCCGAGTGGCGGCGCCATCGCAGGGAGTTCAGACACCCTTACCTTGATTTGTCTGCTTTCGCCCAACAGAAGCGCGACCCTGGTGAGAACGTTTCCAGAGAGCGCTGCCGGGCACTGGCTTTTATAACCGCGCTTCTCGGAGAAGGCCAGGGAGGAGAACGATGAGGAAACACAGCAGCAGCAGAGGAGGAGCAGGAGATGGTGTAGTGATGCAAAACCGGCTCGCCACAGGAGATCAGGGAGAGCTCGCTCAGGGTGGGCGACTGGCACCCAGACGGCTATCCAGCTGCCTGCGTCGAGTTCCGCCACCGTGCTAATTAGGGCAGCACTGTGCAGAAAGACGAGAACATGTGACACGCCTCGTCTCTATTCCTGAGGGGCTCTCATTAGGCCTACATGGGCCGTCTTTGAACTGTCTTGGGCCGTCTGGGGGTCTTTTTTTTGATTCTCCACTGCGCTGTGCAGGCGTCCTTTTGGCTCCCTCGATGCCCTCGGCCTTCGCGGGCCGAGAGGGCGGCAGGCGCAGCGTGATAATGCTTGCCTGCGTGGACCCCTTGCACTCTCGATGTGCAAGCTATGGAGGAGGAGGAGGAGGAGGAGGAGGAGGAGGAGGAGGAGGAGGAGGAGGAGGGTGTACCGTCCGTGATGTAAGGTATGTGGTAGAAGTTGTTTGGGGCGTGGTATGTGGTGGAAGGTGTTTGATATGCGGTGCAAGCTACGTTTTTGTAAGCTCTGTGGCCTGATCTCTGTGGTGGATCTCTGCGGTGCAACTATGTGTGGTGTAATCTGTGGGGTGTGAGCTTCCCGGTGCAGCGCATGTGACGCAAGCTGTGCGGTGTAAACTGCTCCGTGCGAGCTATGCGGTGCAGGCTGTGTGGCGTGCGCGAAGCGGTGCAGACCATGCTGCAGGCGGCTCGCGGCGCCCTCCGGGCGCCCACGGGCGCGCGCCGACCGGCCACGAGGCGCCCGGGAGGCGTCCACGGGCGCGTGCCCACCAAGCACCGGGCGAACCCCCCGCCGCACTCCTCCAATGTCTGCTGGTGCCTCCCTCCCTCCCTCCCTCCCTTCCTCCCTCCTCCTCCTCCCTCCTCCTCCTCCTCTTCCTCCTCCTCCTCCTCCTCCTCCTCCTCCTCCTGCCGGGGGGCAGTGCCGGGGCGAGGAGCGGGGGGGAGGTGCCAGGGGGGGGCCCACGCAAGGCCCCCGAAGTGCAAGCAGCGTGTGGGGAGCGAATCGGGATTCGAAGCTTGGAGCGTTTTTGGCCTCCCTGGATTGACTCTTGCGCGTCGTGGAAGCCTCTCGGGGCCCCGTTCGTGCCTCTTGGCGTGCCATGGGGCCGTTGACGGGTGCTTTTTGAGGCGATGCTTGGCCGTTTTGGCGGCCTCGGTGGTCTTCCCTGGCCGTCTCGGAAGCATTCGGGAGCCCTGGAGAGCCCTGGGGACCTGTCTTGCCGCCTGGGTTGCCCCGGGATGGGGTGGGGCATGCAGGGAAGGGTGGTGGGCGGGGTTGGAAGGGGGGACTTAGAAGGCCGACAGAAGCCCGGCCTACCAGACAGCACCTGGCATTGTACCACGCCTCAACGTGTCAGGGGGCGCGGTGGCGGACTTTTTGCCGCGTCGAGACAGGGCCATGATGTCGTATACCCCGCGCCTGATGGCCAAGAAGTCCGTCTGGGAGGATGCAGGCGGGAAGTTCAAGAAGGTGGTGATGCAGCGCCCTGCTATCATGGACATCGACCTGCTGTTCGGCGAAGAGGAGATGCCCATGACCAGGACGGTGCGGAAGTCGATGGACGTTGTTCGCGACAGGAAGTACAAGGGCAAACAGGGCAACTTCCCGAGCCTCGGGACGTGCAAGGACTCGGACTCCGTCTGGGACCAGGCCCACAAGACCGCGGGCTATTTCTGCGGCAGGACCAGCTCCGAGCAGTGCTCCACCGCGGAGGAGCGCAGCGGCGAGCCGCGCGCTCGGGGCATCCGAGCGAGAGGGGCCGACCGCTCCGACGCTCTTCGGGGTGCCACGCGGAGGAGGAGGAGGAGGAGGAGGAGGAGGAGAAGGAGAAGGAGGAGGAGGAGGAGGAGGAGGAGGAGGAGGAGGAGGAGGAGGGCGAGAGGAGGAGGAGGAGGAGTAGGAGGAGGAGGAGGAGGCCGAAGCGGGGCCCCGCGGCGCGGGTTCTTGCTGTTGTTCGCGTCCTGCCGTTGCCGCCTCGCGCCCCGCGCTGCCATCCACCCGCGACCCGCCCTGCGCCTGACACCCACCCGCGCCCCGCCCCGCGCCACGCCCCGCACCCCAATCGCGGTACTCTTCGAGACCCACCCGCGGCTCGCTCCCAGATATCCGTTGACGTGACTTTTCGATTCGCGGCCCCAGAGGCCCCGGCCCATTTTCCGGTGGCAGTTTTTCGCCTTGGGCCCATTTTTGAATTTCTGGGGCCGCACCACGGGCCCCCTGAAGCCGAGGTCCAGGAACATCCCTCGGACTGCAAGCATCAAGCCCTGACTCCAGATCCGCCGTGCTTTGGTTGATTTTCGACTTGAAAGTGTGTCGGAATTGCACCCCGACCGATGCGAAAAAGCAGGGCGGAAACTTCCGCCTCAGAAAAGTCGTGCGGATATCCCCGCAAAGGTCTGGCGGAACCAGCGATGGCAAAGTGGGGCGGAGATCGACACCAGCGGAGCTTGAAGAGCGGGGCCGAAGTTTCCGCCCCACCTGCGAACTGGCCCAAACGACGGCGGATCTGCAGTCAGTGTTACGATGTTCCAGCCTACTTTAGCCGTGGTCGCCAGAACAGAATTTCGGGCACCTAAACAAGTAACGACACTCGTCGGTTTTCGCGTGTCGGGTCCTGGGAGACACTTTCGACACCCTTTCGGCACTTTTTTACGGGTGCTCGAAACTGTTTCTGGCATGTGGCCCTTAAGTACGATGGCAGCAACATAAAGTCAGGGCTCGTCCGAACGTTTGGCCTCTGGGCCACAGCTCTGGCCTCTGGCGGCCGCTCGGGACGAGCCGGGCAACCCCCCGAACGGCCCGCTCGGCGAGGCGCGGCGGCCGGAGCGCCCGCCGAGGCAGGAGAGCCCCCCCAGGAGCCGACGAGAACGCCTGCGACCCCCCCCCTCCGCTCCCCCCCTGCGCTTCCCTCCCTCCCTCCCCCTCCACCCTCCCTCCCTCCCTCCTCCCTCCCTTCCCTCCCTCTCCTCCTCCTCCTCCTCCTCCTCCTCCTCCTCCTCCTCTTCCTCCTCCTCCTCCTCCTCTCGCCCTCCTCCTCCTCCTCCTCCTCTCGCCCTCCGTCCTCCTCCTCCTCCTCCTCCTCCTCCTCCTCCTCCTCCTCTCCTCCTCCTCCTCCTCCTCCCCCTCTTCCTCCTCCTCCTCCTACCTCCTCCTCCTCCTCCTCCTCCTCCCTCCTCCTCCTCCTCCTCCTCCTCCCCTCCTCCTCCTCCTCCTCCTCCTCCTCCTCCTCCTTCCGTCCTCCTCCTCCTTTCGCCCTCCCTCCTCCTCCTCCTCCTCCTCCTCCTCCTCCTCCTCCTCTCCTCCTCCCTCCTCCGCCTCCTCCTTCTCCTCTCCTCTTCCTCCTCCTTCTCCTCCTCCTCCCTCCTCCTCTCTCCTCCCCCTCCTCCTCCTCCTCCTCCTCTCTCGCCTCCTCCTCCTCCTCCTCCTCCTCCTCCTCCTCCTCCTCCTCCTCCTCCTCCTCCTCCTCCTCCGCCATCCTCCCTCCTCCTCCTCCTCCTCTCCTTCCCTCCCTCCTCCTCCTCCTCTCCCCGCCTCCCCTCCTCCTCTTCCTCCTCCTCCTCTCCTCCCCCTCCGCCTCCTCCTCCTCCTACTCCTCTTCCTTCCTCCTCCTCGCTCCTCCTCCCTCGCCTCCTCCTCCTCCTTCTCCTCTTCCTCCTCCTCCTCCTCCTGCTCCTCCTCTCCTCCTCCTCCTTCGCTCCCTCCCTCCCTCCGTCCCTCCTCCCTCTCTCCCTCCCCTCCTCCTCCTCCTCCTCCTCCTCCTCCTCCTCCTTCTCCTCCTCCTCCTCCTCCGCACTGAAGAGAAGAATGAGAGAGCGGGCACGAAGCGAGCAAGGGAAGAACGGGCGGGCAAGAAGCGAAGGGGCGAGGCGTGTCGGCTGAAAGTCCCGCAGATCTTATCATGAATTATACACAATGCGAGGCCCCCGCCTTAGCGAGTGGTCCCTCCATTGATTTGAATTTTAATTGAATTCGTAGGCTCTGACCGGGCACGTTTCGGCCACCCGCGGGTCGGATATTCTGGCCGCCAAGAGGGAGGAGGGGAAGAGAAAAGGGGGGGGCGACGGCCCAGAGAGAGAAAGGGAGGGCGGGCAGGGGCCCGGGGGACACGGGGGGAGACGGGGGTCGGGCGTCAGCGTCGGCGGTCGTGGCCCACTGGCGGGCTGTCGTTGTCGCCAGGGCTCGGTGTCGTCGGTGGCTGTCGTCGGTGGCTGTCGTGGTGTCGGCAATCGGTGCTCCTCCGCGGCGGCGCTGTTGCTGCTGTACCTGGTGGTACTAGTAGTGGGCCTCGTGGTGGCGGTCGCTGTGGTGCTGCTCATGGCGGTGGCGCCGCTGCGCGGGCGCGCCTCCTCCTCCATCCCTTCTCCTTATAGATGTCGTCGTCGTCGTTATCCTCCTCCACCTCGGCGCTCTCTCGCTGTCGTCCCCCGCCGCCCTGCTCAGCGCCCGCCACCGACGGCCGCGGGCCGGTGGGCGGCCAGGATCTGCTCGGCCACCCCCGTTTGCAGGGTGGCCGAGAGTTCCTGCCAGAACGCCGCAGCATCTGCGCTGGCGCCGGCTTCGCCGTCTCGGCGGTCCAGCCTGTCCAAGACCAGCTGCCTGGCAGCTTCGCCCAGGCGGCCTCCTGTCTCCACCGCAAAGGGCGTCAGCAGAGGCGTGGTGGGCCCTGGTGGGTACCGCAGCTGCTTGCCGCGCGCCGCGTCCTCGGCCGCTAGGCCCGCGTGGGCCGCCCTGGCCCGCTCCTCGCGCGGGTCGGTGGAGTCAGGGCTCGTGACCACCACGTCCACGACGTGCCACGTGCCCTTTTCGCACCATTTGACGTCCAGCACCGCCAACTCCATGCGCTCCTGGCCCGTTGCTGGGTCCCGGCGCCGGCGGAGCCACTGTGGCACCGTCTGCTCGGTGTGCACGGGGCCTGCAACCCGCTTGGCCAGCCAGCGCGCCAACAGGTCGCGGACCCTGTCGTGCCGCCCAGTGCGGGCGGGCCCCGTCTCGCACGCGATGGCGTGGTGCTGATCGGGCTCAAGCATCGCTCCGCAAACTGCCCCGTGACGGGACTTGTTCTGACAGTGCGTCTGCAATGCATGACCCTTCAGCAACCGCGCGCCCTCCATTTGAAGGCGCCTCCGCAAGGACAGCCGGTAGAGGTCGGCCGCCATCCTGTGCTCTGGCGCCGTGGGCAGCAACGTGAATGCCCCGGCGCCTGGGCCTCCGCAGGAGTGGATGCGGCCGAGCGTGCGGTTGTCGAGCCCCGCCGTCGCGTTTCCCTGGAGGACGACCATGATGGGCCGCATCAGGTCCTTCTGCCTGCCCCTTTCCCCCTGCGCCAGCGAGACCTGCAAGTAGTGGGCCGCATTGCCCACCTTGGCGTTGTACGCGGCCACCGCGCTGGCGAAGTCTTGCGTGCCCGTGGCCTGCCTCGCGAGAAGCTCCTCGGCGCTGCCCATGCCGAGGGCGAGCGCGACCTTTGGGGCCGCGGCGCACCACGCAGCCACGTGAGCAGATTCCCGCCGGGGCTCGGCCGCGCCCGCTGCGAGGCCACCGTCGCGCAGCGGCAGGCACGCCTGGGCCCACTCCCTGTCTGTTAAGGGCTCGTCAAGCAGCCAGTCCCAAATGCCCCTAAGGGCGTGGTCGAAGTTCTGCACCGCATGCAGGTCCACGAGCTGCGCGCGTAGGAGGTGATTTGGTAAGCCCTGTGCCGTCCAGCGGAGCATGGCTCCGGCCTCTTGGAGCCCGAGGCCAGCGGCCACGGCGTCTTGCAGGGTCTGGCCAAAAGCTCGCAGGGCTTCCGTGACCTTGCCCATTGCCCGGGCGCCGCCTCCAGAGCCTGCCGCCAGCTCTTCCCAGTCGTCGTCCTGGCGGTGAGTCAGGCCGCACCCGAGTACGCGGAGCTCGTCCACCACGTAGGGCCGCAGTGCTGGGGGACACTGGGCGTGGCCCGGGGGGAGCCACACCTTCGTCATGGTCTCGTTCAGAGTGAGCCCCCAGGCGTTCATCCTTCCAGATAAATCCTGGAGGAACTGCTGGGCTTCTGCGGCCGGAACCACTGCCACGACGTCGTCGAGGTACGCCGTGACCAGCTAGCGCGCGGAGCCCGTGAAGTGCTGAAGCGTCGTCTGGTGCAGGGCCGCTGCGTAGGCTGCGGGGCTCAAGGGGCAGCCCTGCGGCACCCCGGCCCCGGTGCTGAACTCGTGCAGGTCCCCCTCGCCGTCGCGCCAGAGCCCCACGGCGGGCTTCGCGTAGAGCCGGGCGAGCAGGCTGCCGTATTCTGGGAGGACCGCCCCCAAAGCGTCGAGGACTGCCTGGCGGGAGACCGTGCCGAAGGCGTTCGTGACATCGACGGCGACCAGTATGCTCCCCGGTCGGTCGTGGACCGCGCTTTGGAGAGCCCGGGCACCCCGAGTCCGTACTGGAGCGGGCCAGCGGCACCCTGAACGGCATCCGCGGTGTAGGTGACGAAGCCCGTGAGGACAGTACGCCGGAAGGGCGAAAGGACTGTGAGCGGCCGGACCCCGCCGGCAGGCTTGTGGAGCGCCGTGATTGCTCCTGTGTTCAACCAGTCGTCCACAATCGGCGGCGCGGCACCTTCGACCCACGCAAGGGCAGCGTCCGACAGGGCAGCGGCGGCGTCGGCATCAGCGGCCACCACGCGCCAGTACTCGTTACGACTGCCATCTGGCCCCGGCGCACGGCCCGAGCGGGCCTTCTGGAAGGCCTTGAGGATGGCGCCTCCCAAGCCGTCTCTCGTGTCCTCTGGTAGGCGTGTGGGGGCGGCGTGTTGTTGCCCTGGGCCCCACGTGTTCTGTTCTGGGAAAAGCGCTCGGAGCTGCTCGCGCGTGCCGCTCCCAGTGGCCACTCGGCCGGTCTGGCGCAGGGTGGCGACTGCCCCCGCCACCTGTCCATCGTCCAGCATCGCGCGGACCCGGCGCACTTTGCGACCGGTGCTTCCGGTCTCGCCGGTCGGCGGCGCAACCCTGAGCTCCCGCCTGTGCACTGCGTCCCAGAGTTGCTGCCACTCGCCGCGCCAGAGCGCCTGCAGGCGCGCGGCGATGTCGCGCTGAGTGCGCGCTGCCCGCTTGCCGTTGGCGCCGCGCCCGCCGCGAGGGCCCGTGGCGGCGAAGACCAGGCGGGGGGCGAACATCACCAGCTTCCACGCTCGTTCGCGCTCCTGCGGGCTGCCCCCGTGCGCGCCCTGATGGAGCGCCGCGCCCATGGCCTCGGCCCAAGCAGACTGCAGGTGGGGCGGCACGCGCCGCATGGTAGCCACCCTGTGGCCGAGGGCGTGCCGGACATCCACTCGGTCCCACCAGGCCATGTTGGGCAACTTGGAGGGCGGGTGGCCACTCTCGTCGTCGTGGCCCGCTGCGGCCGGGGGGGGGTTGGGAGTGCCCTCTGGTTGAAGTGCCGGCGGTTCGGCAACAGGCTCCGCCGCTGCCTCCCCGAGTAGGGCCCGCACGCGTTCAACCTCCTCCTCGGGGGCCCCTCGGGCCCCGTGCAGCGTCGCCGAACGCCGCCACCGTGCTCCCACGCAGTGCCAGTGGCAGAATCTCGAGCCGCCCTGCGTCTGGAGCCGCGCCTCGCCGATGGCAAACTCCGCCTTGCACGCGCTGCAGTGAGCTCGTCGTCCGCGGCCCTGCTGGGAAACCGTCCATGCCTGTCCCGCCGCTGGTGGCCCGTCGGTGTCCATGGCGTCCGCTGCAGCCGCCGCCGCCGCCGCCGCGGCAGGGCCTTCTCCAGGATACCCGAGCGTCGCGTCGAAGTCCAGGGCGCTCCAGCAGGCGACCCAGGCGGCCGGGGCGACTGAAGAGGCGGCGGCCGCTGCCGGGGAGACCAGGGCGTGGATCACCCCCCCAACAAGAGCCCCCGCGGATGCAGCGACGACGAGGCTCCCTCCGAGGTAGGCCGCAGCTCGGCCGTACTCCCAGATGCGGCTCCAGCAGCGGCGCCTCTCCAGCCTGGCAGCCGCGGCACGGCCACTGGTCAGGCAGCAAGCGGCGGCCTCCCGCACCATCAGCAGCGACCCCACGGCGACGAGGGTCCCGAGGGCGAGGAGCCAGAGGGCGTCGCCCACAATGAGTGCGAGACCCGGCAAATTCTCACAGGCTGCTGCCTCTGAGCTGGTGGTGGTCCAAGCCTCCGCGAGGAAGGCGCAGATGATGAGGAGGACACTGCTTCCTCCGCGTCGGCGGGCGTGCCAGAATAACCGTAACGCCTGAGGCGGAATATTCGATGTCGTCATGCTCAGTGTCGTCATGCTCATTCCCGTCGTACTGCTCCGCATTGCGCTGCTGGTCCTGGAAGTGGTGCTCGGAGACCTGGTCCGCGTAGCCGACTGCTGCGGCCAGGCGCCGATGCCAGGCGACCCGGCCGTGCGGCTCGAAGACGATCCGGGCGAGGGCGCCGGGGAAGGAGGCGTCCAAGGTGAGGGTGACGGCGATGGCGAGTGCGTAAAGACCTCCCCGATATCCATGGTGCGGGGTCCTCGCGGAAGGGACCCTGAGGGGTGCGCAACAGGAACTCGGCCCGTCCCCCCTTCCAGGACAACTGGGTCAGGAAGGGGGGGGCAGGGAGGAGAGGAAGCCGGGGCGAGGGAAGGGGAAGCGGGAGGGAATGGGCGGGAAAGGGAGACGGAAGGAGGCGGGGTGAAGGCAGTGCCAGGTGGGTGGAGGGGGAAGGACTTGGCCCTGGGGTCAGACGTGGTACTGGGCGGGGGCCCATGGTGGGGAGTATGGGCGGGGAGACACCAGAGACCCATTCGGGTTGGGAACCCTTCCCGTGTCCACGAGGCCGCCCGCGACGAGGCGTCTGCGCCGCTCTCCAGCGAGGCCCCGTCCAGGCTCCGCGAGGGCGTGAGCGCTGGCGTAAGCGGGGCTGTCGGTATTAGCGATGGCCCCGAAGGCGAGGGCGTAGGCGAAGGGGAGGGCGTCGGCGAACGCATAGGCATAGTGGTGCTGCTGGTGCTGGTCGTGCTCGCCCGCGAGGCGCCCGCGGCCCCGCACCAGGCGAAGCACCTTCGGCCGGGGCCGCCTGCGGCCCGCGCCGCCCCTCCGCTCCAGGGCCCGCGAGGCCGCGGGGGCCTGCGCGCTCTTTGGAGGGTCCCTCCCTCCTCGCGCCCCTCCTCGACCTCGACAACAAGGATTCCTCCTCCTCCTCCTCCTCCTCCTCCTCCTCCTCTTCCTTTGCCCCATTCAACTTTCCCCCCCCAGCCCCTCCCCCCCCACACACTACAGTAGCTCTGGAGGCCACGGCCTCACTCACCTGGTCTCACGAGGCCCGGACAGCTGTCAGCACCAGTGGTCGTTCGTTCGTTCGTTCCCCCCTGAGGCCCTGGCGCCTACTCTTCTTCGAGCCTGGCTTGCTCGCCCGGTTTAGGACCCCCTGGGCCGTCACATATCAGCGCGGCTCGAAAAATGGCGCAGCAAGATGGGGTCCTGGGCTGTGGCTGAGCTTTTTGTTTGCACGACTTTCGCGTCGTCGGAGCTCTGCGGCGGGGGCCTGCGTATTCTTTGGAGGGTCACTCTCTCCCACCTCCCCCTTATTCCCTTGTGCCCCCTCTCCCTCTCCCCCCCGCCATCCCCCTGCATACTTCGGCGACTTGTCCCTGGTGTGGCGGCTGTCTGAGGTGATTTTGGCAGCGGAGAGGCGGCCATTCCCCCCCCTCCCCCCTGCCTTTTGCCCCCGCCTCCCTCCTGCTCCCCCTCCCTTCTCTTGCCAGGGATCAGGGGGGCACCTCCCGCTAGCCTGAGGAGTGCGACAAGCTAGCCTGAGGAGTGCGACAAGCTTGGCGGCCGGTGGAAGCCGAAGTACTGCATGGCGGCGAAGAAGGGATCGCCTGGGCAGGAGCCGACCTGTGGTTGTTGCAAGGACATCCCTGGGCTGTGGCACTCCGTCGACCCCGCAAAACTACCACCGAGGCTTCGCGACGGCGTTCTGGGGCGCCCGAGGGCCCCTATAGTTCAGCGCAAGCATGGCCGAGACAAGGAACGAGATGATGATCATGATGGTGATGACGATGACGATGTCGATGACGATGACGATGACGATGACGATGACGATGATGATGGATGAGATGAGATGAAGAAGTTGAAGAGATGATGATGATGATGATGCTGGATTATGAAGAGACGTATGTGATGATGATGGCGATGCGAGCTGATGCAGATGCTGAAGCATGTTGGCAGCTAGCTGCAGATGCGCTGATGATGATGCAGCTGATGTTATGATGATGAGGCTGAGGAAGGTATTGATGTCGATGCTAGCTGAATGATGATGAATTGATAACTGAAATCGATGAAGATGCTGATGATGCGCTATGATGTGTTTCTGCTATCAGCATGATAAGTGCAGATTATGATGATTATGATGATGATGATGATGATGATGATGATGATGATGATGATGATGATGGTGGTGATGGTGATGATGATGATAATGACGATGATGACGATACTTATGATGATGGTGCTGCTGATGATGATGTCGATTAGGATGGTGATGATGGTGATGATGATGATGATGCTGATCA